TAGATAGATAGATAGATAGATAGATAGATAGATAGATAGATAGATAGAGATAGATAAAGTTCTAGAAGCTATCTGCAAAATATGATGACTTTATTCACAAATCAAATGATATTGCTTCCAACAAGTGGTACTTCAAATATGCCTCTTTCTTTCACTAAAATCAATACAAAGTGACCTAAATGCTTCCAATCTTATAACCTAAACTAATTAATCAATTAGTTGTATGAATTAATTGATAGTAAACAAGAGCATACAAAACTAGCACTAGTAAAAAGTGCTGTAAATAAAAGTATAAATTGTTTGTTAAAAATGATATTTTGTTAAATAAATAATAATTATTAAACTTCCTAGCAAATGATTTCAAAGCAAAGCAGTGCAATAATCATGATAATAGCCTTAGCATTGATAGACATGGAGTTGTTTTTGATTGATTGCTTATTATTAACTTTTGTATTCCAAAGTATTGACAATTAAATTTTACAAAGATTAAGCAATTATTTATGTCTGCAAGAGAAAAAGTACGCATAATAGTAATGCAATGCATTGATGAGGAAAGTTGCTTAAGTAATGAATTGAGAACGATATGCTTTACATCGATCGCATCGGTGTCTCCAAGCAGTCTCGCATATTCATTCATTCAATCCCTGCGCGGAGTTATCTTCGAGAGTTTTTTTACCCTTTTCACTCAAAGCTTTCTCAGTCGGTTACATCAAAAGGTCAGTCAGTCAGCGAGGAATTGCCGCTATGGACGGGTGCTTTTGGTATATTTCAATCAGAGCAAAAAAAAGCTGCAAATCGTGCACCCTTTTCATTATTATTGCGCTTTGTAATAATTCAGATACCAAATACATATTTTATTGCTATTAGCACTGATAATAATATTAATCAATTGTTATTAGCGTTTGTTTAGCTGCTAAGCTGCTAATTGTAGCATGAAAAATGATAACAGTAATAATTATGCAAGAGTATTCGTGATATTATCACTATAATGCATTGTGCAGAAATTTTCGAAATTTGTAATTGTTAAAATAAAACGCTAAAAAGAAATAATTAAATCATAGAGTAATTTGCAAAATTAACCTGCCTTATAATGGCTGTTTTCATTTCTGATCTTTTGAATTGTTTAAACAAAGAAAAAATGAAGTAATGTTGATTCCAAGCATAATTTTACTGCTTTTACGATGATATATTAGCATATCATTACAATGAATTTGTGACAGATCACAAATTCATTGTAAAAGATTTCGATTAATTACAATTATAAGCAATGTATAATTATAATTGCTTTCTTAAAAAGTAAAAAATGCAAACAAATTTACTCATTGTCAAGCCAAAAGTGCGTGTATAATTTTGAAAAATTTTCTCTAATCATAATTACAAATGCATAATTATACGATCTGTATTGCATAACAAGTTTTATTTTGCTGAAAGTAATTGCGTATGTATACTCAATCATAAATGTTTGCATTTTTGAAATCACAGAACTTTTACCACTCTAACTTCCCACTGCAAAAAAAGGTAAAGTAATTCAAATTGGCTAAAGTTTGTTACGGCACACTAATTTTGCATTTGAAAAAAATAGAAAAATTGTAATTACATTACTTCTTCTTTTGCCATTTATTCGTCTTTTTCACCTTGACAAATAGCATCATTCTTTAACTTTGAAATAATGTATTCAATTACAAAATTTTGTATGAAATTTTTAAAAAAATGACGAATTAATTTAAGAGATAAAATGAGATAAAGAAGGAAAGTCTGTAAATAAAAAATATTTTGATAATTTTTCACAGTTAAAAAAATGATATTTTGACCGGTGGGTGATTTTTTTTTGACGTTGGCACAGTTCTTAAAAAATGCACTATATAAAAATTTCAAGACTAAGCAAAGACTAATAATTATTATCAATATCAATAATTACATTTTGAGTATTAACAGGATTATCTTTGCCAGAAATATGACCAACTAACTGACTGGCTGACTGAATGACTAAATGACTAAATGACTAAATGACTAACTGAATGACCGAAAACTAATAACAACCTTTACTGCTAATCAAACCTGTTCAGCAACAAAAATACAATTACATGAGAAAATTCAAATAAAGCGATTACTTTAGTGTCATCAATTAATCCACTCCACAGTGATGCATTCAAAATAACCTTCGTTATTGTTGCATAATTAAATATTTGATTTGACGCAAAAAAGATTTTCTCAAAATTTTGACGTTAGTCACCTTAAAATTCCTTAATAACTTCAAGAAATATTAAAAAATAGCTTATTAAATTTTCACTTCGTTATTAATTTTAGTCTTGCGTAGTAATAATTAAATACTTTTAAAACCATTTACATGGCTATTTCAAGAAACTAATACTACAAAATTTCTCCAATATTATTATTAAAATGAGAATTGCTTATTTATTAAATATATCTTCTTGTGTATGTCCTTATTAATTATACTCTATCATATTTAATCTTAATTCATAGTTTTGATCTTTTATTTTTTTCAAGCAACTAAACATATCGAATTTGCATTTTTTTTAAATAATGAGGATTACTTTGTTACTTTTCTTAATTTTACCCTGGATCTCTCAAAAAATTTAAATTAATCTAATTAGATATAAACAACAAAATAAGGCAGCAATTTTGAAAAAAATATTTTCAAGAAAATGAAACCTGCTACTTTTTGAAAATAATTTAAGCACAAGATTATCAATTATAACTTTTAATATCAATTATAACTTTTAATTTTAAAGTTATAACTTTAATTTTTGCATATTGCAATCAATATATTTAAAAGAGCAAAACTGAGATCTGTTATTAAAAATGACAATAAAATATGCAATTGATATCCAATCAATTTTAGCGATAAAGAAAATTTGTGCTGATCATTACAACTTATTCATAGACAAATCAAATTTTTGAGCAGAATTAACTGATCTTCCGATAATATTACTAACACTCATCAAAATGTTACCGTAATATCTTATTTCTCATTGCAAGCAACAGCTTCTCTCAGTGATCAAGCAAATAGCTTGAATGTTGGTTAGATTATAAACACGATAGCAAAATTTCATATGAAATAACTATTACTTTGGGAAACAAAAAAGAATAAAAATTTATGAGTTGAAATGAAAACATATTTAAATAATTCTCCCACAAATGAAAAATTTTTACTCAAAAGATTAGTTTAAAGAAGATTAATATTAGCTGAATTAATGCAAATACTTTTATAAAATTTTATTACAATGATTATGGCACCATTTTAATTTATTATCGAATTAAAATGCATAAAATCTCAACATAAAAGTAAACTTTCCCTATGTAATTTTCATACTGTCATTTACTAAAGTATAAAAGGTTAAGACTGTTCGTTATTAACACTAGAATTATTTTTCTCATAATTCATACAAATTTTTGTATGAATGATGGAAAAATTAGCCTCTATGTTTAAAAAATGGCTGATAAATATTAATAGTAACGAATGATAACCATTTGAAAAATGCTAAAAATGCAAAATTTTGTCTAGAATAGTACTAAAATTGTTGAAAATAATATACAGTAATTATACACGGGCATTTATATAACAGTAGATATATTAATAAAAGAGTTGCAGTCATGATTGATGAAAAAAATTTCAATAATAATAAAAATAATAATGATAAAAATAATAATGATAAAAATAATAATGATAAAAAAAAATGATGATAATGACTGGTTCAACAAGTAAATATAATCAATTGCTATTATAGACAAAATTTGCAATTGTGGTCATAACAATAAATTTTTGAAGAAATAATAATTCTTATTTTTAATCCCTTAACTTTTCTACTTTAAAAAGCATTCATGCAAATGTAAAATTCGATCATTAACTCAATACCTTTTTAAATATTGTTAGCTAAAAAGCGAAAATGATACAATCATAGAAAGAATTTTTTTTCTAATGATTGAATAATTTTATAGTAAATTTTAAAAAAAGACATATTTCGTGCATAATACATTTTACCAAAGCAATTTGTTGCTTCTAGTAGATGTCTCTAACTTTGTGCTTTTCAAAACAAGCAGTACTTTTATTAGATCAAATGGTATTTGCTCGAAATCAATTCAAAGTAACTAATATAGCTGTCTACGAGAAGCAATGAAAAAATATTTTGTTTCAGCAACTGACTAGTAATATTCTTAAAAACAAAATTTAATGATATTCTAAAACAATCTCTGTTGATAAATTATCAGAAATCAACTACTGCACACAAAACTCAGCTCAAATTTGATTTTCAGTCAAATTAATAACTGACAAAAGCATATGGAAAACAATCTGACTTTATGCTCTTTGCTGTACATTACCTTTTTTGTAAAAAACGCTGTCGGCAATCTTGCTAGCAGTAAAACTTTTTAGCAAAAACTAGAAAGAAAAAATGATCGGAGATATTTATATCAGACATTTCAATATTAATAAATAAATACTTACTTTTAGTAACGTTTCTAATCTATACTTGCAATAATAATTCAAAACTTTTGCTGTTTACAAAAATTAATAATAAATTTTTGTATTTGACAAGCAAAATTGTTTCATTTTTTCTTTTAAAATAAATGAAATTCTTTAAATAATACATTTAACCTTAGTTATTTATCCATCGCAAACACAAATATATTTCACTGAAATGAATTTTTTGACTTTATTTCCGAAAAATTTTCATTCATTTGCTAGCATATGCAATAGTACTTCACATTTGTTTTAACTGAAAATTTGTAATTATATTTAAAGTAATAATTTTAATTATTGAAAGATTATTTCAGTGAAAACTTAATCTCATAAAAGCACTAAACTTTTGCTTTTTGTGAAACACTGAAAGTAGTAACACTGATGCA